TGGGAATTCCACATTCCCATGCCAGGGCAGAGTCTGACCATGGGACAACCAATGTTATTTCCCAACGAAGCAGAACTGGGCGCTAGCTCCAGTGAAGTTCCAGCTCAGATCCTCACACACCAGAAGGCCAACAACCAGGCTCGAAAAAAAGCTGTCTCTGGTGTGGACCAATCAGTTTCAAAGACAATGCATATATTACACTGGTCAACACACTTTTTCTGGCATAAGGTATTCCACGATTCTAAGGTAATTTTGGGGTGCTGATTCCAAATCTGGCATCAGTTTTTGTCTATCACATCAGGTTTTGTAGATATCAAATATTGCATTTTCAATAAAAACTGCAGAAGAAAAATATTAAATAAATGTGGATATCCACATACAATTATATTATAAACACACTATCCTAAAAATACAGCACCATATTTTAATACTAAAGCAGTCACTGACTCGAAAAAACTTGCAATCATAAGTGACAGAGTTAATTTCGGGTAAAATCAATGAAAATGGGGTATGCCGATAGCATAAAATGAGATGTGATAGAGCAAATCTGAGATCAGATTTGGAATCAGCATCCTGAAATTAGTCTAAAACAGCTGCAAAAGTCCAGGCCAGAAAAAATGTTTTTTTTTGTTGACCAGTGTTATAAAAGTATGTTTGCATATATTATCAGTGTTTTTTGTTGGCATATCCACATGTATTGTGGTTAATGCAGACATGATTCCTTATGAAAAGGTTTCAGTTTGGTGTTTCAAAATCTTAACACCTGTTTTATTGCCAGAAAAAAGGGGAAAACCTATACTAAATATTTTTATTTCAAATATTAATTCACTGGAATTCATTAGCCATTAACATTTTAATTAAAAAAATAGTATTAAAAATGTTACTAAAATCGATCCCAATCCAATTTAACGTAAGACATTTTCCAATTTCAACATCTCACGTTATTTCATTTCCCCCTGCTAGTAGTTATTCATGGGTGATTGCAAGGTAAACACATTCCTGCGGAGGGAGTTGGTAGTAACGTTGGGTTGCTCGGTCAATGGCCAGGGTCAACGGCGGCGTGGTGTATTCCGCAAATATGCCCGACTGTGAGGGCGGGCACAAGCTGGCGTGAGTAGGTTAAACGTTCCTTCGGAGTGGGCAGGTAGGAACTTGATTGGACAGCGCGGCGTTCAGTGGGGGGGGCAGTTGGATGAGTGGGCATGTTTACCCTTCCCCCCACCCTCCCCGACATCGTCAACCAATCGGGGCGTTGCTCGGTGTTCGGTGGGGAGGGGATTGCATGAGTGGGCGTGTTTACACCCCACCTCTACCAATGGCGGCCCCGCTCGGCGTTTGGGGGGGGGGAGTTGGATGATTGGGCGTGGTTACCTTCCCCCCACCCTCCCCGACATCCTCAACCAATCGTGGCCCTGCTCGGCGGTCGGTGGGGGGGTGCATGGGTGGGCTGCATTCCGATACACGACAGACAAATAATCCCTGGTGGGCAGTGTGGAACCTTTTGTTCCTACCTGTAAAATATTGAGTTTAATAAGGGCACCACGGGGTGACCAACCCTTCCTCACCAGCCCCACCCCTCCCACCCCCCACCCAGCCCCTCCCCACCCTCCCCTCCCAACCAAGCCCCTCCCTCCCCACCCTCCCCTCTCCACCCAGCCCCACCCACCCCTACCATATTTGGAATTCACGACGGATAGAACAATCCCCCGTGGGCTGGTGTAACCAGGAGGTTACTATCAGTATAATTTGCATTCATCGTTATCACCTACATTGTAAACTTGGCTGTTGTTGAAGCCGAACGCATGATCTATGGCCTCCAAAATGTTCAACACTGCATGTGGCTTCCGAAATATTCCTGCCCTATTAATCGCAGTTATTGGTTTCAAACCTCTTAAAAGCAGACTAGTTTGATTTACCCACTTGAAAATATTCTCTACTCTCCTGGCTTTGTTTTAGGGGTTGTACCATAATTGCAGTGAAATAAACATGTTTTTACATATTTTGTTTCTATAGAAGGCAACATCTGTTTTTTTCTTCTTCACAATTTGCACTTACGAAAACAGGAAACGTGTTCTTTAATGTGGGCATATAACTGAGGACCAGTGTCACCAACGTAAAAAACATCATAATTGCTGCAAGGAATTTATAAAACCACCCAACTTTTATACTTTAGTGGAATAGGGTATTTTGGATTACTTTATATTTTGCAACGAATTCGTTGGTGTGTATGTGTGTATGTACGTGAAGTGGGGAGCGGTGGTGTAGCGGTTAGCGTGCTGCGTTACGAATCTGGCGACCCGGGTTCGATTACCTGAACCGGTCCTGGGCCTCCGCTAGGTCGACTCAGCCTCAGCCTCAAATGAGTACCTGGCGCGGTGTGTAAACATCGCTGCTAGGGAGACAAAGGCGGTCGGGCGTGGTGCTGGCCACCCACCCCCTCGTGTACCGTTCCGGCCTTCATAGGTGCTCGCTAACAGCACTTGCCCCTACAGTCTGTTAAGGCTATATGGGGGATCTTTGATCTTTGATGTACGTGATTTGTGATAAAAGTGATCCTCAGTTTGACTGCATCTTTAAGTATCTTCGTGTATTCGTACAGTTCCCATTATGAGTTCTGAGCATGCATCTCATCATCATTCAACAATTGCTCCACGTTATATCTATATCATCTTCTGTATTCATGACAACGGCAGTGTTGCCTTTATCCTCTTATAAGGTGGTAATGTATTGAGTGTTCTTCAATTTAGGAAGTGCTGTACATTGTTCTTCAGACAAATTTGAAGTAGTTGGGCATTTGTTAATTCCATGAATTGTGTTTGTGTAAAGTAATTATTTGGCATGACCCTCTAATGCGGCAGTGGCTGTACGTACAACGGCTGCGATCTTGTCAACAGGAACCATCTCAGGCATCACATTAAACTTAACCCTTTTGACAGCGAATACATGTGGTCTTTGTTCAAGTTTAAATCGTAACAATTCATCACCCATCTTCTTGGTTATTTCGGTAAAGTCACGTAGAAGGGAAGTAATAAAATAATAAAAATAAAGCATAATAAAATTATTCTCACGACGTTTCGGCCACAACGCAAGCAGCCGTCCTCAGGTGGAGAACAGAGTCTGAGTCTCATTCAGACTCTGTCTACTTGACGGATCTGTTCTCCACCTGAGGACGTCTGCTTGCGTTGTGGCCGAAACGTCGTGAGAATTATTTTATTATGTTTTATTTTTATTATTTTATTACTTCCCTTCTACGTGACTTTACCGAAAGAACCAAGAAGATGAATCCCTGCAGTCACGAAAGCTTTAAATCGAAATTTAATTCATCACCCAACTTATCCAATGGTTGAATATTATCAATGCCAAGCTTTGCTAACTTTTCCTTCCGTCTAGTTAGCACATTCTTGCGTTCCGGATCGTATGAGACGTGGTTGCGAATTTGCTTGTGAAATAAATACAATTCAGATTGGTTTAGCAAGTCAAGTTTGCATAGCATGTAATTCCCAAATTATTTTTTACATTACAGCTTGGCATGGTGGGGGGGGATATTTGTATCTGTGGTTAAATCATGGCTTTATTTTGGTGTTTTCGAAAAGTTTATTGGTTTAGCCATGTTTGTTTGTTGTAGTACAGAGTTAGACTGATGGCCTTAATCTAAGTTGTCTTGTGGTTGTTGTTGGTTGTTTGACTTGCATCCCACTGGGATTTTTACACACAGCGTTGGTGTACGGTGATTTTTTCTGCAATATTTTGCTGTCTTTTCTTGGATTTTCTGTTTGCACTTAGTCACATATTCACTTTAAGATGTTTTTTGTTCATGTTTTAGTTTTTTGTTTGTTTCGGTTGCACCCGATTCAAGAGCCGAATGGCTCACAGGGCTATACCTAATAAATGAACTTGAAATCATGAGCCCGCATGCTCAGTTTTCAGAATTGTGAGAGTTATTTACTTGTTTTTAGCTCTGTGCAGCGCCTTGCGACCTCTGGGTTAAACGCGCTTTATAAATGTAAATTACTATTATTAATTGCTCTGAATTCTGCGTGGACGTACACATCAACGAAAATGAAAACACTTTGATTGTTTGCATGCTATATTAAATGCCAAAAGGCGTTCAGACTTATATTCATATATATTTTGCTTGATTGGAGCATGGGGCCTGCCTCATAGCGCTCTTATAAATTCTATTTTAAACAGGCATAGACGGAGGTAAAGTCACGTGACCAGGTTGGCAGCGCACTTCACTGGCAATCACGATGACCAATCCCAGCCACGGCTTAACACCAGTGGCATTAACAGTATCTAAACTGGTCATGATCCACCCACCACCCCTCACCACCCACTCGTCAATTCCTCCACCGTCCTTTACCGACACGCACTGACCAGCATGGTGAATTATGGTCAAACTAGCTCGATGCCTCCTGAGAGGCCTTCATCCAGCAGTCAATAGGTCACTACTCATGACGATGATGATGATACATTTTTAGGCACAGTGGCCTTCAATCTTGAAAAAACCAAAACATATCTTCTGACTCATGTCTCAGTGTAATACAATTAGGCAATAGTTGCTGACTTTATTTTCCTTCTTTTCATTATTAATTGATGAGACTTGAGTAATAATTCCCTTAATCATTGGTTTGTCCTGCATGTTTTTCGGCAAAAAAACGTGTTTTTGAAGAAGCACCCAGGACGTTGAGCAAAAACGTCAGACATCGTGTCGAACAATGCGCCGTGCAGTCTGAAAACACATCCGAGCACTTTTTAGCACAACCACGAAGCCCACGCAGTCGTATCGAGCAGTTAACTAACCAGAGAGCGGACGAGCAAACAATGGGTGACAACTTAGCTCATAGATGCACTGGCACACTCTGAATTTCATACAGCTAAACACAAGGGAAATCAACACACGTGAGTTTAAATTTTTTTCATTTCATGATTTTATTACATCAATTCAACTCCTGGCACTGGAGCAATGACACGTTGAACAGAAATCATGATATGTGGAGAACAGTATTCGCATAATATTGTAATGTGCATCACGGGAGGGCAAAACATCTCATGACGAGGAAAATTACGATTCAGGCCTACGGAATGGGATAGCTCAGCATAACTTATTTAAGAAGGTCACGTCAAAACAGGCTGCACACAGTTACACATTTCCAGTATCAATGGCACAATCAGCATTAGCAGTGGCAGCGTGTGAGAAGTGAGGGGCTATTATGTCATGCATGTTATAATTTTCTAAATCCTACGGCTCCAATTGGGTTTTCTGGTTGCTTAGAAGGCTATTTTGAGGGGCATTGTGGGTGACGAAGGGCAATTAATTGGGTTTAGTTCCAGGCCCTGTTTTTTTTTTATCTCAGGCTCAGTTTTGACCACGACTTGGCAACATGAAATTCGAGAGGAGCGAGTCGAGAGTTTGCTGAGATAGAGGAATGATACATTTATGCGTGATATGATAGGTCTTCAGTGAACGTCGTATGGTCCATTTTTCAAAATAGTGTTACAACCTGATTATGTTTGCTCATAAAAATCATAAAAAACACGTTTCTTCAAGCAGTATAAAATAACCAAAAAAACACAAATTAAAGCTGTAAATAAATACCTTTTAACGTAGTGCCTTGACAAAGTTTTTAGAGTAATTCACAGCAAGGCAGTTTATATGATATCAGCATTTTCATCATCATATAATAATTTCTTCTGTGACTGACAGCATGTACGTTATAATCGTTATATATTGTAATATATATACGCATAGTAAGTAGTTGAAACATTCTTCTGAATACAACAAAGCAGGTAACAACGCAATCACAATGTGAATTAGAATTATAAAGTTTGAGAAACCGATATCGCTAAAATCATCATATCGTGAAATTTTATATTTTATCACATCGTGAAAAATGATTCCATTGCAACCCAATTCGCAAGTAAAACGGCAAGTGCGCAAGCTAAGTGTGCAATGCGCTTAACGTGAGCTGCTCATAACATTTACAGCTGAAAATATAGTACGCCACTGTGCGGAATAACATATAGCTAGTATATATTTAAACGTTGCAAAAAGTTTGGCGGTTTTGCTCATTAATTTAAGAGCGCTTAATGTCCATGTTCTTTCTCCCCATAGAGTCTTAATTTTTAAACACATCTGACTCAAAGTGTGAACTCAACCTTGTAAAACGTAAATACTGCATTCGTGGCCTTTTTAAATGCCCCTTGTTCTCAGTTCCTTCAGATGGCTATCTCGAGATCAAACAGCAACATGCAAAAGCCTTGCTGCGTGTAAAAAACATAAATTCAAATGCACGGTGCATTTTACACCTGAGAAAAATAACGAGGTCATTCAAAATTCCGGTTGTACGCTTGCTTAAAAATTCTGTTTCAAAATCCAAAGTTACATTTGTTAGGGTGTGTAATTAAAACTTTTCTTATTTCATTTATATTATTATTGTATTTCTTCCCTTAAGGCAGCATGACAAAGCATGCGAATAACGTGGCCTTTCTTTAAAAAAGCAACCAAATTTAGGCCAAACATGTCATTGCTATTATCACCATCAGTCATAGTCCACGAATGGGTGACGGCTTCCCTATGCCATTCCTGCACATTCACTGATATCATGGCACCACCTCCAGAGTGGTCGTTCTCTTGTGCACATTCTATCCCTTGGAATACAAATCCATCGCAATTCTTATCCATAGGCCGCTATCATCCCATCTCGTGAAATGTCCTGCCCAAGGACAGCGTGCTTCACTTAACAGTCGCCATGTCATTGTTGCCTGATTCTTGTGTCCCTCTTTCCACCTCTGTAATTCCCAGCATGCATTTCTCTATGCTTCTTTAAATATGTCAGTGACTTTAATCCACATGTGAAAACGTGAATATGCTTTGATTCAGTAATTTCTCAGTCAAAGAACACGTTTTTTGATATGTTTATTTAAATTATTTAAATGTACGCAAGTGCATCAACGTTAAACGTATTCACTTCAGTAATATCACACTTTGACATTTGCGAGAAGTCAAGGTGGAGATCTGACAGTACGATTAGCTTCCAATCAGAGATTTCGATCCCACTCAGTGGTCCATTCAGCCGATTTCTTCCCCGTGGTGGATGAAATAAGTATAATTATTATAATAGTAAAATACATGTTAATAAGTATCATGCAGCGCCACGGTGGCGAGATGTTAACGACCTCACCTCGTGGGTTCGATGCCGACCCTGACTCCTGAATATTTGAAGTTTTCATGTTCTCCACGTGGTCGCGTGGATTTTTCTCCGGGACCTCCGGTTTTTCCCTCCACATTTAGAATCATGCGTTTAGAGTCCTTTGGCTGCTGTACATTTCCACATGATTACCCACTTCATTGAGCAATAATTTGTGTACAGGTTGCTTTGAAAAAGAGCTATATACTGGACGTCAGTGGGCCTTACGTGGTAAAATAAAAATAGTTTAGTTTGATTTTGAAGGAACTCATTTGTGTTTTTTCTTCTAAGTAGAATGGGCTACAGTCCCCACCTGTCAGACATATATTTGAATTTCTACCATCGTCTTAGAATCAGCAGTCGAATGAGTGCTGTACAAACAATAAAAATAGTTTAGTTTGATTTTGAAGGAACTCATTTGTGGTTGTTCTTCTAAGTAGACTGGGCCACAGTCCCCACCTGTCAGACATATATTTGAATTTCCACCATCGTCTTAGAATCAGCAGTCGAATGAGTGCTGTACAAACAATGCTAATTTGGATATTATGATGCATTATACCAATGGGAATACTTGAGTATATTTGGTATTCATAGCATTGTTAAAGTGCACTCAAGCAACATGTTTTACAGACGAGCATAGTCTGCCAGTCGGGGAGGGGGTGGCAGTGGTGCTCTGAGGTTTGAACATATCTGGTATTTTGAAAATAAATTCTCCAGATTCGGCCTACTTTTTAAAGTAATGTAATGGGACCTTGAACTACCACCGTGAAGCAAAAACGAAGCACATTTTTCGCAAATCTGTGGTCAATACACCCACAGCATTAACCAGGGCGGCCACTGGGCTTCGAACCGCAGACCTCTACAATGAGCGGCGGACACGCTAAACCGCTTGGCCACGTCGGGTCGTTGACGACGTGACTCTAACCACGCGGCGCTAACAACGGCAGCACCCGCCTGGCCCTCCACCTTAGGTGCAGACAGGTGAAGGCGCGGCGAGCCGTCGCTGCGGACCATGAAACTTGCACGCGTGCGTCCGCGCGCCTCTTCGCTATCGCACATCGTCGACGCACGTGGCCGGCGCGACAGTCGGCGACACCTCGAGGAGGAGCTGCAGCCAGCAGGTGAGCGCGGGGAGGCACGGCACGCGCAGCTTGAAGTGCACGAAGGGCACGTAGAAGACAAATCCGGCGAGCACGAAGAGCAGTGCAAACAGGTACTCGTAGCGCGGAGACGACACGATGGGGGCGAGCACCAGGTACCCACACACGAGCACCACCACCACGGGTACAGGCCACAGCACCTGTGGGAAAGGAGAAGGGTGGATAAGAGGTGAATGAGAGCGGGTGGGTGGTGGTGGGGAGATGAGCGGTGAAATGGTTTTTCGTTTGCACCCAATGGTTTGTGTCACGTGGCTCGGATTCTTCTTGTGAAAACGAGCTGAGTGTAATAATTTGTGATACGTTGAATTGACATTTAATAATCAATTTACTTTGGTGATTTTAACCAGCCTGTCCAAAGATAACGTATGCATATATTTGCTGTACTGCCTTCCTCCAGGCACTGGATGTTTGTTAAATACCACCTTATCTCTGCTGCAATTTGGAAAGGGGCCTCACTGAAGTTGGTGTGATTAAGCAAAATCTATTTTTTTTGGTCTCAGTCCCTCAGTCCCTCTCTCTTTCTAACATTCAAACTCTCTGTTGAGTCGGGTAATCCATTCTTGATGCAGAGCGTTGTGTTATAGTGTTAGTACCTCCCGTGTAAGCGTAGAGGCCAGTTACGCATTGAACAGATTGCACTTCACAATGTTCACAATGGGTAGGGTTGACTCCTTCATGTTCCATTCGTGAAGGAAGTAGTCGCGCGCTGAGCTTGCGTTGTCCACACGCGATTTGAGTGCAGCACGTTGCCTTCTATGCAGGCTGAAGCCAGTTGATAATTCGTGCATCGGATCTATTCACATTGTTGCCAGAATAAGTGCGTCTATTGTGATGAAAGTATTGTAAAAAAAAAACACTGCCCATTGCTGAGAGAAAATTAGAGCAATGTTGGCTTGTCAGACCGGCACGACATTATTCTCTGGGCTGGTGGAAATAACCCCCAAGATTAAAAGCATGGTATGTTGTCAATATAAATAGACAAAGAAGCTACATCTTCTTGGCTCTTTCGGTAAAGTCACGTAGAAGGGAAATAATAAAAATAAAACAATAAAATAATTCTCACGACGTTTCGGCCACAACGCAAGCAGCCGTCCTCAGGTGAAGACCAGGTCTGTCGGGGAGACATTCAGACGCTGTCTCTCCGACAGACCTGGTCTTCACCTGAAGACGGCTGCTTGCGTTGTGGCCGAAACGTCGTGAGAATTATTTTGTTATGTTTTATTTTTCTTATTTTATTATTTCCCTTCTACGTGACTTTACCGAAAGAACCAAGAAGATGAATCCCTGCAGTCACGAAAGCTTTAAATCGAAAAGAAGGTACATTTGAGGATTCTCAAGGTTTAATTTGATACTCAAATGCTGTGATTGCTTGCATTATCGGCCCAGAGGAAAGGGCGCCACTCAGCAATCGAAGACGTGGAATGAAAATCCACGGGGGATGGCAGCGAACAACCAAAGGGCTGCCATTCAAATCCCAGTCAGGCATCAACTCAGCCACTCATTAGCATTCTTTGGTTTTCAGAATAAATACCGATTTTTGGGGAAAGCGTGGTTGTGGTTGTGCTGTGAAGAGGCTGGCTGCCCCCATAAGAATGTGGAATTCTCATCACTGACTCATGCCCCCCCTCCCCCAAATAGGTGTGCCCCAATATGAATTCGAGTTTGGAGATACCGTGACATGACTGGACTGTTTAGCATACATTGTATAATAAATTATAATACAAATTTGGATACGCGAGGCATCTATCTGTGACCAAATTTCATCAAGACGCTGTACAAGCGTGGAGAACGTGCCAGGAAGGAAAGAGATCACGCTTCAGGATTTTTTTCGTAGGTGGCAGGGGACTAACAAGACAGAGGCAAATCGTGAACACGCAGATGAATACAATTCATAGAGATAGCCCTTCTTTGGCAGTCGGAGAGGAGCAACGTTGTGTGCCTGGTTATGAACCGAGGTGTCTCAGAAATGTGGAATAGGAGGAGGTGTCTCCTGCCATCTGGTGCAGCAGAAGAAAATAAGCAACCTCCCATTGAGAGGAGGTTGACTCGAGGCATAAACAGATGGACTGATTGATGTACAATTTTGGTGTGATGCGATTGTGGAATTCTAATAGTTAGCGCGCATTCTACAAAAGCGATTCTGCCAAAATTTATTAATAATAATAATAGTTCAATTTGTAACGCGCGCAAATTTGCAGACGTAGTGGCCGCAACTCAGAGGCGTGGAGCCAAGCTCAGAGTCGCTCAAAAGCGTGATTGTAGAGGTGAGTTTGTAAGTCTCTCTTGAAAGAGGCGATTGAGGTGATGCTGCGAATGTGCAGAGGGATATCGTTCCAGACTGTTGGGGCTGCCACCGAGAAGCGGCGCATAGACGTGACCATCCTGGATCTTGGTATCAAGAGGAGGTCGTGAGTCGCGCTGCGCAGGCATCTGCCGTGTGCTGAGCTGCAAGTTGTCAATAATGAAGAAAGGTACGGCGGGCAGGCAATCAGTAGCCAGAGGAAGGCATAAAAGGAAATGGAGCAGGAGGTGCTGATGTCGGCACGCTCGTCATTCCGACGGATAACAGTCGAGATCATCGGTCAAAGTGTTTGCTGAGCACAGACTCAATGGCCCAAAATGCCAAGCAGTCAGCAAACAAACATCGCCGTTGAGTGTGTAACAGATCGGAGTTTGTTTGTTGAACTTCTTTCGCACCGTACGCAGCCAACCGTGCTAATCGGAGGTGCGGGGTAGGACAGCAAAGTAAACACAAAAAGCAGAAAATGAATTTCGATTTAAAGCTTTCGTGACTGCAGGGATTCATCTTCTTGGTGCTTTCGGTAAAGTCACGTAGAATTGAAATAATAAAATAATAAAAATAAAACATTATAAAATAATTCTCACGACGTTTTGGCCACAAGGCAAGTAGCCGTCCTCAGGTTGAGAACAGGTCTGTCGACCTACTTGCGTTGTGGCCGAAACGTCGTGAGAATTATTTTATTATGTTTTATTTTTATTATTTTATTATTTCAATTCTACGTGACTTTACCGAAAGAACCAAGAAGCAGAAAATGAGTTTTAAATCGAGATTTAAAAGTGCATAGCTCCAGTGGCTTCCTCATATCAGAAGGAAGAACGTTCCAGACGGCCGCAAAAGCGCATCTGAAAGAGCACGATGTGGTGACCGCCTTTGTTCGATGGCTGAGCCAAAAGCCGCTGCGAGGATGACCGGAGTTTGCGTGATGGTTTATGCTCCTTGACGAGATCAGCACGGTTTTGTGTTGATTGAGTGCGACCCTATCATCTATTTCAGAAGTGGGGAACGTCCGGCCCGCGGGCCGTATAAGGCCCGCAAAATCATTTGGGTCTGGCCCTGCCAAGACAACCGCAGGCGGGACTCGAAATTCAATAAATCTAGGAGCAAACCTGGAAAAGCAGTTGCGAGTAGCAACATCATCAACACCAGCTAACATCACACGCCTCACCAAAGAGAAGCAGTTCCAGCCATCACATTAGGGGTGAGTTAATGAAATGCTTGACCAAATATAACAGGCACATTTTTGAAGTTGATAATTTCGCATGGCCCGCGAATGCTGTTACAAATATCCAAATGGCCCCTGATCGATTTGTTCGGCAAACGGAAGCCAATGCGGCTCGGCGAGCACTGAACGGGCACGGGCGAATGTGGAACTCCTTCCGGCGCCGTCCCGATCGGAGGTGCCAGGGCATCATGTGACGGTGGCGCTCACCCTGTACGGCCTACGGAGGTCGGGCTCGCGGTAGCGCAGCACCAGCAGCCCCGCGCAGTTGAGCCCCACGAGCAACCAGGTGACGAAGCCGAAGTAGTTGGTGAGCATGATGAGGTCGGTGGGCAGGACGAAGGCGACGGACAGCAGCGTGGAGAAGGCGACGGCCGGCGTGGGCGTCTGGTGGCGCACGCTCAGCATGGCGAGCAAGGGCAGCGAGTGACCCTCGCGCGCCGCCGCGTAGTTGAGGCGGCCCATGACGAAGGCGCTGCAGTTGAGCGAGCCGAACGTCGACACGGCCACCGAGAGTGGCACGATCCATGAGAAGGAGCCGAGCACGCGGTCGCCCCACGTCACCGCCACGGCGGCTGTAGGGGTGGTGGGGGGGGTCGGCGAGAGATGCAGCAGAACAAGGCGAGGGATGCAGCAGGACCGTGGGAATCTCACACGCGTGCTGTTTAGCGCTCCGATGTGATTTCGGATTGCACTGCACGTTGTTTGGAATAATGGAGGCCACCACAGTGGCGAGATGTTAACTCCCTCGCCTGGTATGCAGGTAGTCGTGGGTTCGATCCCGAGCCTGACACCTGTATATTTGGAGTTTGCATGTTTCTCTCCCCGTGGTCGTGTCGATTTTTCTCTAGGTTCTTCAGTTTTTCTCTCTACATTTAGAAACATGCAAATAGAGTATTTAGCTGCTACAAATTTCTATATCATAAACCACTTCGTTGAGCTATAATTTGTGGCCAGGTCGCTTCTGAAAAAGAGTCATATAGCTGAGTGGGCCTTACCTGGTGAAATACAAAATATATTATTTTAATTTAGTCTGATATTTTGCTGCACGTCCTGAGAACTTCTTATGAATCTTCAAATTTCTGCTGAACGATTCAGTGAATTAATCATCATCAATATCAGCCATCGTCAATCCACTACTGGATGAAGACCTCCCCAAGCCACCGCCATCTTTCACGACTCTACGATGCAGCAATCCACCTAAGCGCCTGCTAACTAGCCAATTTCGACGCTCCATCTCCCTTCTGTACGTTCCTCTCAGACGCGTTCAGCATGATTAACTGAATTCAGTTCCTGAGGAAGCTGCCAGCGTGTGCGAAGAAGCGCCAGACTTTGTGCCGAATGATGAGCGGCACAACATGAAACACATCAGAGCACTCCGTCATACATCAGCTTAACTTAATTCCATTTCACAACTCGCATGCGATGTCATTACTCAGAGTCATTTTCACATTTTTCAAGGGAGACATTTGTTTAGAGAAATGATGAGTTCCGAATCGTGAATGTTTGAGGCCGCCTTGGATACAGTCCCACGTGTGCTGTGGCTACTGCTATACAGGATTCTATCGCTTTATGCCGTAAATTGTTTCAAAGTGAAATCGCATAGCACGAACCCCACAGTCACCCAACCCACAAGCCACCACACGAGACAGCTGCCTGCCGAGTGGTGCAGACAGTCCACACCAACAATGTTATTCCACATCCGACCGCATAGCCGCATATGAGCGAATTCAAACCGCATATAGCGAATTTTAGGTATAAATTGGTTGACCGCACGTATGGAAAAACGCATAAACCGAAACCACACGAAGCAAGGTAAACCTGGATTGTCAGAATCGTGACTGTAACACAGCTGTTTGACCTTGCAAGGCCCCTTGCTGACACTATGGGTAATTGGTCTTAGAGTTTGATAATCCATTGTGGGTATTATGTGATTTGACTGGTATACATTTTACCTGGGTAACAACAGTTGCGAGTAATGTTGCAGGAATCTCTGAGAATTGGCCACAATTTAAAGTCGCTTGTCGCTCATGGAAAGTGTGAGAACAAGGAGTAATTGTAATTTTAAAGAAAAATACATTTCTGTTTAAATAAAAAAATTCGGTGACGGGTAGTGAAGCATTAGCATTTCTGGTAAAAATCAAGTGAATAAAGAAAATGTTCAATGAAAACAATTCTACAGAGATACAAACCTCATAACGCTAAAATATAGTAAACCTTTTAGCTTCGACCCAATTTTAGTTTCCTGCTGAGAGTAATTTTAAATGTGAAATGGTTTTAAAGCAACTCGGAACCATAGTAAATTACATATTATGCTATTTGCTAAATTGAAATGGAATGAATTCCATAAACAAAAAACCCAGCTCAAAGGCTTGCTAATTAAATCACCACGCTGATGTCCTCTTTGATGCGAGCATTGTGCATTTCTGTGAATTTTATTTGGGCATGTAAATGATGTATTTCTCCTTGCATCTTGGAACATGAAAAAATAAATGCTTTTATTGCACCCCTTTGAAATGCAATAATTTATAAGGATCCCATGAGATGTTTAAACAACAGCAATTTCACAGGAATACTTTAGAATTAAAATATCCATTGTAATGAGAATTTGATGGTTTTAATGGTAATTTAAATGCACGGATGGGGAACTACCTTAATTCGTGTTATCACTACAAAGGGCTGTAAAGTTTCGCTCGTTAAAATTCGTGCTACAACAGATTTATTTTAGCCACATTTATCTTGGTTGCCACTGCAGTTGACGTTCAGAGACGATCCATGGAAATTATGGAAAGTAGGTGATTGAGTAAACTATGTCTAAGCGCAATGGATAACTTGATTTGTATGTCAACTGAGCAAGAATCTTAGAAAATGTTTAAAACAAATGAACCATTAGATAATCAAACTCTGACAACCTCCCCCCCCCCCCCCCCCATGATAAGGATGGGCTAACTGGCCAGGAAAAAAATCCATGCTAACACATCTACCAATACAATATTATGAATTCACTAAAGTGGATGATAACGTTTGTACTCAACATTTTTAAAGAACTGCGATAGAAAAAACAGGACCCTGCGGGGTGGGCTGGTAGGAATAATACTTAGTACCGGTACAGAGATATCGACCGGGTATAGAGGAGTTAAAGAAAAAAATACTGTATTCTAGTGTAACGTTAATTAAAAGTGTTTGTTTTGACAAGAAACGCTGTGAGATTTAAAGACTCGTAGTCTTTCATTTCCAACACCACCCTCAACACCACCCCTCCCACGGACGGACGGACGGACACATTACTCTATTGGTGGTTTGGTCCACTTCGTTCCTACCAGTATAATGTTGACTTGGCCCATGAGACTAAGCAATGCCCCATTACACAGCATAGACTATGTTGCTTGATTGCTATTTACATACTCTGTACAGCTGCTAATATGGCGTCATTGCATATGGGAGGTGAGCACGAGTGTATCCATTCATAAGTTTATGGGAACCTTGTTTACATCTTCCATTCTGTGTGGCCCACTTACGTCAAGCCATTAACATCAGCCAATTAACATAACACGTATATTATTGCAGTTCCGACAGTAATTATCACAGTAGCCTTGTTAATACAAGGAATTGGTATCTTGTGTGAAGGTAAGTAATGGATTTAGGCTATCGTGAGTGTTGTATATTAACCGTTGTGTGGCCGCAAGGACGGGAGTTGGGTGCTAATGTGCTCTCCCACAATCCCTTGCTTTGAACCACAATGCATTGGTGATCTTGTCAAAGAGCATAAACCATCACGCAAACTCGTATAAAGAGAAAATAATACATTAAATACTAGCATACGACGTTTCGATTGCACACACAAGCAATCATCATCAGGTATAAAATAGAAACGCAAATCTAGTATACTTAGAAATGTAATGTAATACAACAGAGAGTCGGATAACATAACAGTCAACACCCTACCTGGTTGATTACGTTCTTCCTGAGAATGCTAAATTTGTAATACAACAGAGAGTCGGATAACATAACAGTCAACACCCTACCTGGTTGATTACGTTCTTCCTGAGAATGCTAAATTTGTAATACAACAGAGAGTCGGATAACATAACAGTCAACACCCTACCTGGTTGATTACGTTCTTCCTGAGAATGCTAAATTTGTAATACAACAGAGAGTCGGATAACATAACAGTCAGCACCCTACCTGGTTGATTACGTTCTTCCTGAGAATGCTAAATTTGTAATACAACAGAGAGTCGGATAACATAACAGTCAACACCCTACCTGGTTGATTACGTTCTTCCTGAGAATGCTAAATTTGAGAGAGAAGAAGAACGTAATCAACCAGGTAGGATGTTGACTGTTATGTTATCCGACTCTCTGTTGTATTACATTACATTTCTAAGTATACTAGATTTGCGTTTCTATTTTGTACCTGATGATGATTGCTTGTGTTGCAATCGAAACGTCGTATGCTAGTATTTAATTTATTATTTTCTCTTTATACGTGACTTTACCGAAAGAACCAAAGAGTAATCCCTGCAGTCACGAAAGCTCCAAATTAAGTACGCAAACTCGTGTTATCCTTACGGCGGCTTTTGGATACCCACCGAATAAAGACGGTCACTGCAATGCACACTTTCAGGTCCTCTTCTACGGCCGTTTGGAACGCTCTTCCTTCCGATCTTAAAAATCCACTGGAGCTATGTAGTTTTTAATCATCTAGATTGAAAACGAAATTCTTCAGAACTGATTTTTGTGTTTAGTTCGTCGTCCTTCCCACACACTTCGGATTAGTATGGTTGGCTATGTATGGTACGAACAAAGTTCAACATACCTACTTAGTATGATGTGCATGGCCATTAAGAAATAGCAATTGAACTGTGGAACTGCCAAGCACGGTGTATATGATCAATGTGCTACTGAAGTGAAGCGTTTTCTATTGTCACTCTGGCCATAACAAATATAATGTGATATCGAATTGCATCGGTAGTTTTTTTCAAGATGGAAGCAGTAATCAAAAATGTTCCAACATGTATCGGTTTAGGACTCAAAATAAACAAAAGAAAATAGTTTGCATGTCCTTAAACTGCTTCTCAAACTGCACACCATGCTCAAACTGTTTTGTAAGTAAATGTTTTCGTTTAGCTTTTTAAAGTTTAGAATGCAATGTGCGTTCATGTTTGGAATGTGAGAGGTGTCCAATGAAACGATTATAATGGGAAATTGCTCCTTCTATCAAAATCCATGTAAAAACAATGATACCATTATAACTGGGTGCATTCTTAGGAGTCATTAAATAGTTATGGCGATTAACCATAGAGACCCCAGATATTAAACCACTTCAGTGTCCTTCCTGCTCTGACATGTAGTTTATAAACATGCTTGTTAAGGTTACACTGAAAATTCCCCAAATAAGCATGTGGAGACGCACGCTTGGAATTACGTTGAGAAAGAGAAACACATGGATTCGAGAAGACACGCAGGCTAATGGCATAATTCAAATTGTTGAGGGAAGTAACCGGGCTTGGCCATGACACGTTGCTAAAAGGAATGATGACTCATGCTCAACAATGGGATAAGCAACCGAGCAGTCGAAAGCGTTTGAGATGAACGTCCAGGAGGGAGATGGAGCGACGAAATTGTCTCGTTAGCAGGCGCTTAGGTGGATTGCCCGCATCGCAGAGTCGCGAAAGGTGGCGGTGGCTTGGGGAGGCCTTCATCCAGTCGTGGATTGACTATGGCCGATATTGATGATGATTCATTCACTGAATTGTGCAGCAGAAATTTTATTAGGAAACACAATATATATTTTTAAGCATAAGCTAAGCTTGGTAAATTTGGAGAAGTAAGATTGCACGGAAAAAAGATAAAAAATAGTTGCACAAACCAAAATAATTATTTTATGTTTAGCATCATATTATTTTAACCGTAATATCTGATAGTGAAACATTGTCATAAATATAACATGTTCATGGGAATGTAATCGTAAGTAAATTGCTACAAAGACAATGTTCTTGCAATGACGACTGAGCTCTGTAGCATCAGGTAATTGGGACATGTATAAAGTTTTATAAAGTGAGCAATATCCAGTGAAAATATTGAAATAGAAAAAACTCGTTCTCTATATGCCTTGGGTGTTTTCTTGCTAATTTTAAAGAGGTTATGGGAACAAACTGATGTGACAGGGCAAGCTATGTCATCTATATAATTGCAGAGCATCTTAAAATTATTGCTACGGAGTAAACCTACCACGTAATAATAATGCTGTCTAGACAGCATCATAACACAACCCTTGAGCTGTCATGTGACGACTTTGTGCAGTAATAATCTTCCTCTTGAAAGTGTCCCAATGAGCAAAAAGCCAACAACAATGCAGCAGCAGAGACCTGTTTTTGCAGGATTTTTCTGTTTTGCGTGTAGTCACTTTAAGATGTTTCTCGTTCATGTTTTTGTTTTGTTGCGGTTGCACCCGAGTCACGAGCCACATGACTCGCAGGGTTATACCTATTTAATTAAACTGAAAACCTAAAATGAAAAACCGAGCATAGCGCACGTCCATTGTTCTTCCTCGCGTGCATCACTAACTACAAGGGTGTTGCCGCGCTCACGTGACGTGGCGCGTCCCGAAAACACTGGCTTGGGTTTTTCAGACTGAAAAGCCCAGCAAGTCACGGTTGGCTACGTACGGTGCGAAAGACGTTCGATGAACATAACATAACAATCTGCCAACCGCTGCTAGTGACCCGTGGCAGTCTCGCGCCGGTGGCTGGCGAGCACATTCGTGTGGGTAATAATTGGAAGGCAGTAAAGGCAGTCAAAACGCACGTTGCTCAATCTGTCTGGCTGTGTCGGTGGCCTTGAATGCTGCACCTGTTTGTACAGGTGTCTTAGGACTGAAGGACTGAAGGTCGTGTTCTTGACCTGGGTGGGAGACCTAATTCCCCGTGGGGCCTTATTCAGCTGTTTCTGTTCAACGTGAATTCCTACGCTCTGTTTATGATGGTCATCAGCAACCAAACAATTACATGCTTTTTCGTTATATAATTACAAAAAAAACCACTACTCTATCGCCATACACGTTATTATGCTTTTAGTTTTACAATTCAAGAACGTCTCAGATATACAAGTATAGCCTATTACCAAATCACCCAGAATATACCAGATCCCATCAGAGCTCAGAGGCTTAACAGGGGGTTTACGCTGGAGAGCGCGTGGAATGGGGGCCCGCATGCACCAACCCCACTGACCGGTGTGGTGAATTCTGATCAAATAACCCCCATGACCTGCAGGGCGTGGGGAGGCCCTCATGCAGCAGTGGATTGGCAAAAGGACTGCACATGCACACCTAAACTACACTCTCTCCGTGGAAAGTCACATTAACAATGTTCCAACGCGCTGTGTTGAAGGATCCTGTGAGGTTTTCAAATATCTCGGTATTCCATTAGGACATTCCTCAACAAAAGTGAATATTTTGGAAGTGAATGTGAAATCAATATCCAGATTTTTAAAAAGTGCGTTTTACGTACAATAAGGTATGCGCCTCTGCCCCATGTACATTATTCTACCTTTGTGTTATTTATGTGTAGGCGAGGAATACGAATGTCAATGAGCACGCCTGCACGGATGAGTGAATAAATAATAATAATTTACAGCCGTTTGTCAATCAAATGTTGCGTGATGGCCTCCCCACGCAAGGTCATTCGTGGGGTTTTTGTTGTTGTTGACTGTACACTGGTCAGCGTGGGATGGTGAAGATGGTTACCCGGAGTGGTTCAGATATCGCTTGACACTGACGATGTTGGCCATGTCCACAAATCATACGCAGGTCCCCGGGTTCAAAGTGCAGTGCACTCAGCCCAAGTAAATAAACATGTAAGCAAGATCAAATATATATACTGCATTTAGAATCCGCGGTGCTTACCTGGTCTAGAAATGTACAACTATGTTTAACAATGCACTGGCCTCACAAAACACACACACACACAACATGCTATAATCTGTACATTAATCAGAGGCGACGGTGAAGAAAATAACGTAATGTGCTATAGGTGAGAGGAGTGTGGTGGTGCACGGAATGCTGCTGAAATTCTAATTCAACACAGGAAGCGGGGCTTGCACTCACCTGAAGATATGATCTCCCTCGGAGTCAAGACGGTCAGGTACGAGATGTTCACCAGCACGTAGAATGCAGTGACCAGGGGCACTGACACCAAGATGCAGCGTATGATGTTCTTGTGCACATCCTTGAGCTCCTCTGAAAATGTGACGTCACCGCTTATTAGGATGCGTTTTTATTTTCTTGGTTCTTTCGGTAAAGTCACATGTGTGAAATCCACACACCTGATGATGATTACTTGTGTTGCAGTCGAAACGTCGTGATGATTTCCATCTCAAATGAGCACTGAGGCAGCGCTTAACTCCTGTTTACAGCCTTGAGTCATTGATGAAAGTTCCACATTCCTATGGTAAGGGCGAATCTCTCCGTAGAGTAGCCACTCAGAGCTTCCCCGCAAAGTGGTGCTCATTTTATTAATCCCAGAGGGGTGATGGGCCGAGATAAGCCCTCAACCAGGATTCGAACTCATATCCTACTGCTTAAGAACCGCTTGCTCTACTACGGTGCCACCTGGCAGGCTTCATGTTTCGATTTAAAGCTTTCGTGACTGCAGGGATTCATATTCTTGGTTCTTTCGGTAAAGTCACGTAGAAGGGAAATAATAAAATTAAAAAATTAAAAAATTCTCACGACAGCTCTGTTCTTCACCTGAGGACGGCTGCTTGCGTTGTGGCCGAAACGTCGTGAGAATTTTTTTTTTCTACGTGACTTTACCGAAAGAACCAAGAATGTGAATCCCTGCAGTCACGAAAGCTTTAAATCAAAATGTAGGATGTGTTTTATTTACTTTCCACCTCGTGTGTAACAAACGTTATGACAAAGTGCAAAATTCGTCGCTGCGTTTTTCCAAAATTATGATTCTGGAGATACATTTAACAAATATATAAAAAGAGGGAAACTGCGTCTATTTTGCGTTGCAAGGTTTTTGCCCTCGTGCATTTTTACGCACGGGCAGCTTCAGCGTCGCTCACGGGCCACAGGCATGTCCCCTGTCGACCCCAATCGCTTGTCACTTAAGGCCGAAGCGCCGAGCGAGCCGTGCGGAGGAGGGTAGCGTTTGGCCGCTTGCGCACACGCGAGTAATCATGGCAACAAGGGTCGAGATCAATGAAACAGCCTGTAATGGTAAACTCGTAATCGATTCCTTATGGGATGAGCTTGATTGCTCTGGAAGATCCGAGTTAAACAGAACTACGTACAAGTGATTGGCCACGCAGCCTCCTCCTATAGACTCCTGCGGTTTAATGTTCAACGGGAGTAAATTGTAGCTTGAACACAATCTACATGAATGGGTCATCGGTGGGGGGGAGTGGGAGTTTGTCGATTAGCCACCTCGGTGGCAGATTGCAAGGTTTGGGGATGGTTCAGGCTCACATTTTGCCAGTAATGCCTTGGTACAATATTAGAGCAGCAGCAGCAGCAGGGTCTTCTCTTAATTCAATTTTAAAGATTTTTTGACATTCAACAAGGTCGTCGTGCACCAGCAAAAAGTCCCAAAACTTGAGAATTTTTTTTTTGTCAAATTACCCACGATTACAAATAGGAGCACAACAATGAAAAATGAGAGTGTCCCGTCATTGTCCGCTTGCTTGCTGGGGAAGATGAGCACGCGTTTCTGAGCTCGGGGTGACGCACGCTCGGGCTCATTCAGCACGATAATTGGCGAGCAGATGATGGAACGATTTGATCTACCGTCCTCCACTCCCACCTGTCGAATTTTAAATAGGGAAGCCCGAAGCTTGCAGTGCTTCCAGTGGCCAAGGCCGACGAAAGGGCTTTCTTCGCTGTGTATCTCGTGGCTTAGAATCACATCGAGCGGTGACAAAATACGAGCTGCGAGATACTCCCGCCGTCACAAGCAGGTACACTTATACGCGCGAGGTGTCCAAAATGTCAAAAAATATATATTTTTTATCTCCAGCAGATAACCAATTGCTTTGCAATGGGAAATAAGAGACGGCTGTCAATCTCACACTCTTCTAACAATGCAGTACTCGTTCGACTAAGATAAATCAGCTTTTTTAAAGTAATAAAAAGGCAAGATAATAGGTATTGTGAGTTTTTTTTTATACTCTCTAGGATTTAAAGAATGTTCCGGCAAAAAAATGCCATGAATAGGAGCACAAATTGAAAAGTTAGAGCAATTTTAAATTAACCGGTTAAGTCTTCTGTATACGGTTCACCCATTTCTGTGATGTTTCTACCTATTATACGTCTTTTGAATTTATTTCGCCGTTGAAATTCCTTTCAATGGTCATTTGTTACACGGGAAATCCATTTTAGCCACTTACCCAGCTAGTTTTGGTGGAAGTAGCCCGAAACCACTTACAACAACAGAGTTATTGTTGGGGTGGAGAGGCACCCAGCCAGTAGCCAGCCAAGAAACTCGAGGCAGAGATTATTGTAACGGCAGTATGATGTAGTTTTATTATACTAGTGCCAATTTTTCAAACCCTGCCATAATACATCTGTAGTCAGCGACTTCTGCGACACGCCGTGTAGAGGGTACTTCTTCTTTTATTTTCTCACACTGAGCACAACACAGGCCAACACTTATTCTTCCTCACACTGAGTACAACACGAGATATAACGTCTCTACTGGCTACACACAGCCGATCACTCGGCGTGGTCCCATTGCCCTCGCTCGGCTACGCCGCTGGCTGGCGCCATGACGATGGCGATGGACACCAGGCAGGGGATCTTCCACGTGGCCGGACGGCGGAGAGAGATGTCGGCGAGCAGCGACGCAGCCAGGACCCAGGACCCCACACATGAGCCCCGCTCATCCTTATATCCCCCCAGGCGTGGCTCGGCCCCGCCTCCGGCCACGCCCTCTCGTGGAACCTTCGAGCAGGTGGCCAGAGTATCTCGGCTAGCCCCACCTGTTACCTTTGCCCCAGATACACCTCCCTCTATGATTAGTTGTTACTCTAACCATGCCCGTACCCGTGATTCTCCTTCCAATCCAGCAGGTGTCGCCCTGTCATTACACATCCATCACAATGGACAAATACAGATAGAATATACAATACAAGGATATACTGTACAGATAATCTTGATTTGATGCTTTCTTGACTGCAGGAATCCATACTCTTCGGTACTTTCGGTAAAGTCACGTAGGTAGAAAAAATAATAGATCGCAACGTTTCAATCGCAACAACAAGTACAGAGAGTTGCGTGTGTGCACTTATAATTATCTTCACGATGATAAGCTTGTCACCACATATTTTTATAATATTTGCTAGTATGTGTAAGGGATTGATACAGAGGTGGTGACTCATTTCTCTTGCAGGCACTGTGCTGTGTGTATATATGTGTGTGCTGCATGTAATCTGTAGTCTGTGTGCATCTGGGCATAATAAGCAATATGTGTGGAGGCACATTGCCACAGCAATTAGTTCAACTAAGCCAGTGATCTGGCTTTGATTTTGAGCTATGCTCACATCAGTGGGGAATAGTATCTGAACTTATCCTGAGTTTGTTATAGGCTAACTTAGTCTTAAATGAGTAACAGGTTTTCATAAATAAATGGCACCGCTGGCCAAACCAGCCGTTTCTGAGTAATGCCGGCTTTAATAGATGCTCGCTAAAGCACTTGTCCTTGTTCCAAACGTTTAAAAGGATGCACAGCAGATATTTGTCCTTATCTCAGCATGTGTGTGTGTGAAGGAAAGGTGCACTTGAAACCGAGAACAAGTATCGTGGAGACGTGATCGCACGTGATGCTCATGACGGCCGTAATGTACTTTATTATTCGAGCAATCGTATTGGAGTTAGTGTATTGCTCTATAATACCACTAACCCATTTTAAAGAGTTAGCCCTCTCATCTCTCTCCACCCGGCAGTATAATTCGGTACACTGCAGTCGATTGGCGCGTTACGTCTGGTGGAGTTAAGTGTGAGTGTGCCCACCTCTTGCAGCACGTATGGTCAGCAAGGATGAGTAGACCAATTATCCTCCAGAGATCCCTCTTGTGGAGGACCCTCGACCAGGAGTGCCTTGAACAAGACATTGCAGGGTCACCCCACCTTCAGGCTTTAACTGAGAAACCAAGAACGAATTTAGCACGCGTTGACTTAGGCCTGCCACTGTTGCTTGTAGATAACTGCCACTGACCAATCAGCATCACACACGCCGTGCCTGCGATTCGTTCATACGTCCGCACGCACGTGCCAACCGGTGCATTCACTCCTGAAATTCCATTGGAATTGAATTTGAAATCAATCACCGTTTTACCTCTAATTGTTTAACCACCATAATCATTACCTATAGTGTTTAAATGTGTGTTTTTTCACATCGACTGTGTCTTTACACCCGACCCCCTCCCCCCCATAAGTGTCTTCTGCCCCAAAACAATGTTGTCTGCGGACCTGTGACATAGTTGAGAGCGTTCCATCCGCCGTACGCCCACAGTCCCTGGTAAAAGGACTCTCCGATCTGCGCGGGGCTTGGTAGCGGGCCGTCGAACGAGCCCAGCGGGTTGTGCGTGCGCTCGCTGGCCAGCAGCACCAGGCCGCCCACGCTGACGATGGCCAGCGCCAGCATCTTGAGCAGCGTCAGCACGTCCAGGGCACGCATTGCCCACTTCACGCTGCACAGGGGTGGGGAGTGGGAGCGGGCAGGGGAGGGGGCAAGCGTCGGCGGTAAAGAGTCGCGTCGACTGAGTGAGAATACACGTAGGCTTTCGCGACCAATATTATTCATAATAAAGGTTTTTGGGTTTGATTGCGTTATTTATAAATGTGTCCTAACCCTCCATTACCCGACACGGCCAAACAGTAAAAAATGTGTCACGTTGACAAAAGACAAATAGTTCACTACTTTAGCTCACCGGTGTGTTGAAGAGTGAATCAACATCATTTGCAATTTTTTTGAGCACGACGTTTCGCTAGTAATTGCATCCAGCACCATCGGGCAATTTGCCAGAATAGCGAAGCTCTCCACTTGCTCCCGGTCTTAAATAGAGCAGCAGGGTGACGTCATCAAATCACTGCACCAGATTGGGTTAAATGATGACGTCACCCTGCTGCTGCTCTATTTAAGACCGGAGCAAGTGGAGGGCCTCAACTATTCTGTTAAATTGCCCGATGATGCTCGATGTAATTACCAGCGAAACGTCGTACTCAAAAATTGTAAATGATGTTCATTCAACTCTTCAACACACCGGTGGGCTAAAGTAGTGAAGTATTTGTCTTTAGTAAACGTGACACATTTTTTACTGTTTGGCCGTGTTGGGTGGTGGAGGGTTACGACACATTTATAAATAACGCGATCTAACCCAACAACCTTTATTATGAGAGAGAATAGTTACCAACGCACGTTTAATTGGCATGTAACGACTGAAACGGATTACTAACACCCACCCGATACCCCCTGCTCCCCGCCTGCTTCACACCGGTGATGAATTGGCATGATTTGAAATGTGATATAACTCCAGATCAGATTTTTTTTTCTCATTGGTTTCTATGCCATCTCATACAGTTTTTAAATAGAAAAAAATTAACCCGTAAAAACAAAGTTTTTCACTATAAATCCTTTAAATGCATGGCATCGGTTTTATTTTATTATTCATTTCTGTTTTTCTTGAGTAAGAGTTTAATTTTTATCACATTGGTATTTTAAATTAAATATGAAATTTATTTTTTCCAAAAAAGTGTAAAATGTTGCAATTTTTTTTTTCACGAAAATAAATTGTCACGCACAACGAGTCTGTGTGCAAAATGTCAGCTCGATTGGATCACGGGAAGTGGGTTAAAAAAACGACCGAAAGATTTGCACGGTCGTAAGCGCGCAAGCAAGCAAGTGAACTTAATAAAAAGGATTTTAAAAAAGTCTAGGTCTCACACAGTTTTGTTTGCTTTATTGTATTCAATGTAACATAAGGAACTAATATGCATGAATAGTCAAGAATCGATTGTCAGATGCGTTATGCGATGCATGTATCTTGGCCATAAGAATCGATTTTTAATAAATGAAGAGCTGTCATGTCAGTCGTTTTATTGCCACGATTCATGAACATGTAGAACAGCACGCGAGCACAGTGAGAGTAAACATGTCAAATATGCACGTCACCAATCCAGCTGGCTAATGTTTCCCAGTGTTTACGCTTTTTTTATTGTGCCAAATTATGAACAATTCCAGTTAAACACAAATTGGATTAAATCGCACAAGGAAACGCAATTACAAGCGACGCGTTATTCATTAGATAAAAGGAAGTTGTGCGAGGACTTTTTTCCCCGCTGTAATTGCTTGATTTTCACGAGACATTCTTCGCGAGCATTGGATCGCATTGTCAAGTCCTTGAGCAGATTGGCAGGCACCTCGCAGGGTTTACGCGCGTCGCCGTGTGCTCGCGGTGAATGATGGGGTGTGGTGCGGTGGTCATGAGCAGAGTACTGCTTGGCATTTCCAGCAACCTCGAGCTTGACTTCTGACCGCATTCAACACTCGGGACGATTCAGTTTTCGAAATCTGGACTTTGTCCCCTTCCAAGTTGCAACGGGGGCGGGGTGGGTGGGGGGGGGTAATCGGCAAGCCTGATATTGAACTGGACGACTCAACCACCGTGTGTGAAAAAAATCTTTACAGCTCATCGGATTCCTCCGGTATGAATAAATATTCTGATGTAAGTAAATATTTGATGAAATGTACCTGTGCTCGCCCCATCAGTCGACAGGGCCCATGGTGATGTCTGGGCACGGTGGTTCGCTCTACTGCGCTCCAGACACGGAGACCGAAGCTGGAGAACCGCTCCACGGCCAGCATCGCCGACGAATACCTGAACCGGCCCTGAGAATCCTCTAAGTCGACTCGGACTAAAAATGAGTACCTAGTTGCAACGTGTAAACATCGGCAGAGGGGAGACAAAAACGGCCGGCGGGGGTGTTGCTAGCAAAACCCATCTCCTCTCGTGCGGTGAACAGGTGCTCGCTAACCGCACTTGGCCCAACAGTCTACACGGCTAACATGATGCTTTGTATAAAGGTGTCAGTTTTGTACCAGTTTAAAGGGTAAAAACCTACTGCTATCGGGGAGTAGTTATCTTTGTGTGCGTGTGAACATACTGCACGCGACTCAGTGCCTTCATTTAGCATTCAAACATGTTGAGACGCCCTTGGCATTAATGTCAACAAAGGGAATATTTGAGATTGCCTGGTCAATGTGCTCATGTATACACACGTGCCTCATCAGTAGAGCCAAGGCCGTCATTATAATATATATTGAGGGGAACACATCCCCCCCAATATTCAAATATCCTCCAAATGTCCCCCCCTCCCCCAAAATATTGCAATAAAATAGATTTCTGTTCATATGATTGTGGTTATGATTGTACTTTATTAATTTAATCTCTGCCATTGCATACAATGAAACAATAAAAGGTAAAAAATAAAAAAACAGAGCAATCTAATACAATACACTATTAGACATTATTGCTAAAAATAAATAAAAAGTCCATCCTATGTGTTAGTGAATTTTTTAATGTTTTAGGCAGGAAATTCGTTTTCAAATTTAGATTTTTTTTTCATAATAGGCGAGCTCACGGTCGTAATTTAGTATTCTATCACTCACTGCGGCATCAAGGACGCACAACTGAGAAACTAAACACGAGCAATGGTTTAACTTGGCAGAGACGACTGCACTAAATGTATAAAAAAAGAACTGATGTTTCTGTCCATAACGGCCTGCCATGCCGACTTTGGGTGTAAGTGCTGCATGAATGGAACAGCTGGGGTATAAAATTAAATAAAATCACCACCTTTGTCGTTGTCACCGCCTTAGATAACAGAACACTTTTACAGGAGGGCAATGCTTTAGGCAATCGGCCCATGTTTAGAGCAGAGCGAAGGCAAAACAATTGAATGGATTAAAGTAAGAGATCGGTGGCGAAATTGCAATGGGAAATATGACGACAGTAGAGATATGAGCGGGTTTTAGACTTGCGGCACGGAATGGGAAGCAAGGCTGAGTGATGTTGACCGCATGACAGCCTTGACCCGTTCGGGATTAGGGTAGGATGGTGGTAGTAGGGCTGATATTTATAAACCCAAAGAGCCATTAGAATATATACATTTTTTTGCCAGTGGGAAGATAATCCCCTGCTTTGCGTAATGCACCAGTTGGGCACGATGTATCGTCAAGTTGGAGCATTGCTATCCCCTGCCCATCATCTGGATATAGGGCCTTTCCCATAATGCTACGTTCCCCTTTATCAGTTACCAGTGCTTCACTCCCATGGCTCCGTTGCAATTTAAATGCAATATTACATCGCAGAGTATCTCTCCGACGGGCACATCTGGCGCAGAAATGGAACGATGATATTGGTTTGTTTGCAGATGCTCGGTGGGTCGTTACATTGCAGGACTGTACTCTTTGGTTCAATCGGTAAAGTCACGTAGGAAAAAAATTAAATTAATTAAATCGCGACGTTTCGGGCGCAACACAAGCGTCCGTCATCAGGTGGGACAACCGCAGCAAGAAACAGTTGTTTCTACTCCTTCAGGGTCTTCTAACAATTGTTTCTTGCTGTGGTTGTCTCACCTGATGACGGACGCTTGTGTTGCGCCCGAAACGTCGTGATTTAATGTATTCTATTTTCTACCTACGTGACTTTACCAAAAGAACCAAAGAGTATGGATCCCTGTAGTCACGAAAACTTCAAATCTAGATTGCAGGACTGCTAGAGGTAGCAATGACTTGAGGAGGCCTTCATCCAGCAGTGGATTTATTCTGGCTGCTGCTGGTGATTGCATTGAACAACCTGTTGCCTATATTTAAATGAATAAACAATTTGCATTTGCTAATGGGTGGATTTATACGCAAAGGACATTATTATGCAAATATATGATAAACAATGTGGCTTTGTGGTCAAGTCACTGCCCTATAAACCCCGTCGCCTAAGTTTGATTCCCAGCCATGGCCAACATCAGCGGTGAGAAACACAGTCCTGAATCACGCGTCATCAATGTGCACTGACCAGAGTGGTGAAGTATGGTCAAACAGCCTCCACAATGGAGATGGGGAGTGTGGAAATCTACATCCGGCGATGGATTTGCAGGGGCTAAATAAATATTATTACTACTACGTTAAGATAGCAATGTTACAATTACAGTACTTGAGCCTTGTACACACAATTAATTAAAATACAATTTTCGGTATAAGGGGACTTGAGCCTCTCATTAAATACATCAGGTTAGAGGATATCTTAAAGCAATAAGATTTTGGCAGTCTTATTAAAGTATTTCTCTAGTTTGGAAAAATAAACATGAAATATTCATATCCGTGTTTACCCGTGCCTTAATTCCAATAACAGGAGAGCTTTGACTTGAGCTTTCGTGTATGCTCATGGGATCCATTTTATTATTCAACAGGTGCTTTGCAACGTGTCATTTACATTTGAATTGGCAATACCCGGTGAAAATGGAAAAGTGAAAATAAACGTGAAGAGTCGTGACAACAGTGGGTTTGTGAAATGCCACACACTCCAAAGAAGATTCCAATTAAATGTTGATTGACAAGTATCTTGAAAACAAGGGCTGATCCATTAAAACAGCTCATGAGGTTTAAAAGTTTAAGTTGGCAATTCCAAGTAAG